AAATAAAATAAAAATACTTGTTCTTATTTTATTATCGAGAAAAAAAATTATTTTTTTTTTATTATAATTTTGTTCTGGTCTTAGTTACATATATATTAATTTTTAAAAATAATGTATTTAACTTCATATAATATTTTATTCAAATTTTCTTAATTTTTCTGATTTGACCTACCAATAAGTTTTAATAATTTAAAGTCTACAAAAAATCAAATATATACATATATATATATATATATATATATATTTAATCTAACATGATGAACCAATAGAATTAATTGCAACATGATAAATGGCATCCAACACACAAAAAAGCCATAAAAATGGTTATGAGTTCTGGAACAATTTATTTTCAAATGAAAATTATATCATCTAAACAAAATGGTTGAATCACAAGACACAAGGTTTACACTGTAAAAAAATCATATATATTGAAACCAATGTATGTCCAGAAAAAAAAAAAAAAAAAAAAAAAAAAAAACACACACATAAAACATACTTCATAAAATAATTTCAACCAAAAATAAAAAGAAAAAAAGAAAAAAAAAAAAAAAAAAAAAAAAAAAAAAAGCAAAAGGAAACCACCACCATCATCATTATCATAGTAGATAGAGCTGTCAAAAAATCTCATGATGGGCTAAATTTCATTCCTTAATCCATATAAAAACCTTGCCATAACTTTTGTAGTGTGAAAAAACGTTATTGGATACTGTTCCCTCACAGTGGAAAATCAGAAAGATGCTGCTTTCAATTCAACGTGTGCAATCAATCACTGGTTTAGTTGATAGATGACTTTGTGGGTTGCAAAGGTTGTTAAAACATGGGGGTGAAGTTCACGCTTCATGGAAGTGAAGTGAACAGATTTTTCCTGCTCACTGAAGAGGATCTTCGATGCCCCACATGCCAACTTTCTGATACCCATGAATGTAACCCATCTTTTTCGCACTTCTTAACTCCTCTTTATACTGTTGGTCGGCGGTTTCGGTGCATGTTGTTCAATTCCATGCCGTGAAATTGCTCAGTTAAATTCATTGGCTCTCAGTGTTGAAAACAACCAGACCAGATGATTGCATTCGCAGAGCTCGGAGTGCATGTTTGTTTGCTAAGCTGCAGGAGAACAAGTGGTTTATTTCTCAATTGTGCCTTACTGCAGAATTCATGACTCTTACCGTTATCAGTCCTTCGAAACTAAAAAGATTTGCGATACATTTTTCTGATGGTTCACTAGGATATAAGCTAACAATGGACGCTGATAAATCCTCATGATGTGGTACTCAGTATTACCGTAGCTTGGAAGTCAGTATTTCGGCCACCGAAACTGCGTGCAGACATCTCTTTGGAAATCATCACAAGCATTTCAGAGACTGTCAAGTGCTTGTTTTAACTCATGCGTCAGTCAGTTAAACAGTGGGAAAGCTCTGCTGCATTATCACTCAAGGTTTTATTTGTAACGGTCCCATTAATGTCGATTAAAGGATTTTAGGTTCTAAACAGTCGTGGCTAGTTCGTGAGCAAGTCTTGGAGTTTTCGATGTGCTCTCACCTTACTGTTCTAAAAAACTGGCTATACCATGCTAGTCAAGTGGCTGTGGAGCTACTGCTGGTTCTGACTAATGCATAAGAAAGTTGAAATACTGCTACTGATGATGTAATACATACACAATTGCAGGGATAGCTCAGTGTTGCTCAATCATTGTAGAACCACGCGAGGGAGCATCCTTTGGGTTTCAATGTCAGCATAACGAGCGGACAGGGTTGCCGAGGCCTGTGAGGGCTGGCCTCTTCAGCTGGCGGTAGATGTTGGGATTTGATCCAGAGTCTCGATGCAGATTGACGCCCCTGTGACAATGACGACGACGACGACAACAACAACTACAAGAGGATGGCCAATTCCAGCGTTGTGTGCCTCCACGGACGTGGTAACTGGTGTCAGTCCTGCAGCCGCCCAGTTGTGTGTGACTTGTGGCAGACGATTTGTTCAGCACGCATGTCCTGCAAGTGATCCAGACAGGACTCGTGGGACCCTTTCCTGTCTCCATGATTGGGACTGGACAGCGCAATCTGCCAGAATGCTAAAATCGACTCCACATACAACAGGCATCGCGGAAGGATAGTTGTCGTTCTCACCCACCTTTACCTATATCTGAGCCGATCCTGTGCATGGAATCTGCATTCCCGTCACATCGCAGTCCTCGAACTTCACATATTCTCGAACATCGAATCATGCCTATACTTACCCTGAAAGATGTCGATCCTAACCTGATCGGAGAGTCTTTAAAAAATTACGTTTCAGAATCGGAAATTTGTAGAGTTTATGATCCGTGCATTGAACGTGGATCAAGGTTAGCGCACCCCGGAACCTTTGTCCTAAAGCCTGCGTTCTGAGTTGTTGGCATTTGTACAATTATGCAGAAGGTAGAATCTAATGAAACGGAAAGCAATATGTTAGGACTGCAAGTGATAGAGTGCCTGAAACTGGTATTGTAAAGTAGGCAGTAAAGCAGTACGGTTTTGAGATTGCGTTGGTACTAGCCCACTAACCCAAACAACCTGTGCATTATAATCTCGGTTCTCTGCAGTAACGTGGTGCAAATGTAACATGGCAACAGTATCTGCAACGACGACAAATTCTTTGTCATCATCTTTCACCTTCTTCGAAAATTTCTCTTCGGTTACGCCCAGCTCTTGGGACATGCTATTGCCATCTGCCACGATGTGCAAAAAATCTAGGTTTCTTTTGTCGATGTTTTTAATCGTATTTTCCTTTACTATCCATCACTTGGTGACAAAGAAAACATGTTTCACCTCACCCTCTGCAGTTATGTGCTGAATTTCATTTATCGGTTTACTCATGAGAATGCTGCCAAATTGTTGACACAGTCAAGATGCCTTGCTGTCGATTATCGAAGGAAATAGTAACAGTGTTTAAGGATATCTCCCAAGAACTCGAGTACTTTTATGCTATGCCGATGGCCTATTGAAAGTACTCAGTTCACACTTATTGAATGTGCAACATGCTTACCTTATTTTTAAGTGTTTATGTCTCATGAATGGTACAGCTTTAGGGAACTTCACTTCACATTGCCAGTTCCGGTGTTGTCCAACTAGCAACAATGCCCACATGTAAAAACTGCACTCAACTTTCCGACAGTGGGTATTTATTTTCAGTTTTCAAATTTAGCCAGGGTGTCACAACCATGGACAGTGAGGTGTCGACTCCAGCAATTTTCCTACAAGTATTCTGGTTTCATTTTTACAGTTACTCAAATAATTTCTTAAGGTTGACTACTAATCATTACTCAAATCCCAAATATCACGGGTCGATTCCTCAATGTCTTCCTCGAAATTCCTGCAGCTTTTGAGCTGTGCAAGTAAAATTGCAAAAATCTAGAGATAATTAGCCGAGAACAATGCAAAATTACAACTTCACAAAAAACCTCAGAGTTGTTTCAAGCACTCCGTACCCAGGTTCGTAAAGTAAAGAAGTTCTTCACAACAATATATATATATATATATATATATATATATATATATATATTGGGGCAGACAATGTTATGGAATGTTAGCTTCCATTCATCCGAAGTTAACATTGAAAGTTCAAATTTTCCTCCGCCAGTTGCTCTAATTTTCGATTAAAGAGACAATTTTCAGTAGCTAATGTGCGTTTAAATTCTCAGCATACAACTTTTTACTTTAAATTTCTAGGGCGAAGCAGTGAGGAATTCAATGAAAGGACTAGCATCTATGCCACGCCATGGTCAATCCACCAACAGTACCAAAACAAAGTTCTCACCCAGTTGACGTGTCAGAGGCCGTAGAACACGTCATCGCTTATATGTGGAGCTTTTGAAGCTCAACAGCAAGGACTTTCACACCACAAAGCCTGACAGGTCACAACGAGGCAGAAACCAGCTCTCGTTGATTTGTGGGTAGGACACTGATTACTATTTGCGTTTGAGTGTCATTGCTGCAAAACTACTGGAAGCTCACACGATCGGTGGTTGAGTGGAGCCTTCTCCGAGCTTCTTCGAGCATGCACTCAACAGTCTGAACAATCAATGAAGGGGATCTGCACTTCGGCTGCGTTGGCTGTGCATGTGGACGCTTTCATTGTGAGTTCACTGTTTTCCTGACAGCTCGTGTGCATCATGCATCAGTTCAACTTCGCTACCTCGAGGAAACCATAAGTGTCAGTCTTCGTTTCTTCAATTTGGAAACTTGTGTGAAGAATCAATGAGATAGCGAGAGAGAGAGAGAGAGAGAGAGAGAGAGAGTCTAATATGTAAGCCTATATCCTTGATTCAGGTTAAATTCCCCGTCGGTCACGACGTTGAGCCTGCATGACCGGAAAAGTTGCACAAGGGGAAAAATCTAATCTAGGTGATTTGTAAGAATGTGGCTCCATCTCCGTCAATCCTAACATTATCCACTTTACGTGTCACATGTTGGATGATCGTATGGAGCTTGGAGAGTTACAAGGACATTGCTGCTATTTTAAAGTTGTGCTTGCCTGTGCAGTTTCAAAGTTATTTATAAAATAATATAAGTAATTATAATATAATATATTTATAATAATATATAACAATAAATTCATATTATAATAATATATTATCTTTATATTTATAATAACTTAACATCAACTTATAATTTATAAAATATACCGTTGAGCTTCAAAGCTCCAAGTCTAAGAGATGACGTGTTAATAGAGCCTTCAGTACTTAACGTCAACCAAGTAGGAATATTATTTTGGCACTGGTGGTGGCTTGACCATGGCGAGGCACTAAGCATCATGCGGTTGCTTGATCTTAGCGGCTCCGAATGAATTACGTCAATGCTTTGCGTAGAAATTCAAAGTGAAAAAAGAAGCTTGGAATCAACCAGAATATATTTGGTGAACATTTTGATGAAAATTATGTTTCCAAAATCACTATGCCATGGGTACTGGATAAGGCTTCGGCGCTAACTTTAGAAAAGCGACGTTTCATGCCACGGAGTCAACAGCACTAACAGTCCTCAGTCATTGTGGCAAATAGCGAATCGATCCCACACTCAAGGACCATCTCCGTGTCAATTAAAGAATAGTTGTGCTGATGAGTATCGGTGCGGTTCATGCAACAGCGACCTCGCAACATAGTATATTTATCTTCAGAAACTCATTGGAATTCGATTCAGCTTCGACTCTAGGCTCTTGGTGGTGAGCTGAAGAAGCTTGACAATCTTGTGGAAGCGCGTTTGGTCGAAGCTTGATCACACGTGATGGCGACTCATCGGGTTGCCAACCTTCAGCTGACCCTTCTATGTCTGTGGCTTCATTGTGGAGGATTAGTGCTGGTGACTGTCGGGGCAGCCCATGCTGACCCCAAGAAGACGATCAACCGGGATGCAGTGGAAAAGGATTTTTTCTCCTGGGTTGCAACGATGGAGCAGAATCACCAGGCTCACATCACGGCAGATACAGCTGAGATGACTTTTCAAGACTTCAACGGTGGTACTCTTGCTGCAGCTAATACTCTTGTGGTAGGCGCTGGGGGGTACAAGACGGTGCAGTCTGCTGTGAATGATGCAGCTTCCGGGGGATCTAGGACCATCATTCAGATTAATTCAGGAACATACCGGTCAGAATTCTCACAATTTTTCGACCATCGTGTGGGCTCTCATCGCAGATCACATGCAAACAAGCCTGTGATGAATTCCGCTTGCAGTTATGGTTGCAGAATTGGCTTTTAAGTTTTTCAGAGACCTTCCTAGTACTTCTACTTATTGTCAAGTACTTTTGCTTTGGCAGGGAGAAGGTAACAGTACTGAAGGGGAAGACGATCACTTTCCAAGGTGTTAACAATCCGGTAATTGTTTACGATGATACTGCGGGTTCAGCAGGGAGCACTTCTAACAGTGCCTCAGTCACGATCCTTGCCGACAATTTCATTGCCAGAGGCGTAACTTTCAAGGTAGATTACAAGAATGTTGAAATTTAGCCGAGTCTGAATGCTTTCATTCGCTAGTGGAAAGATTCACACTGTCACCAACAGATTCCTCCTCATGAAAATGTTCTATTGGTGAGCGATTCGATCGAAGGTCCACCTCACATATGATTGTTGGAATTCATGAATCTCTGTAGAACTCGGCTCCTGCCCCTCCTGGAGGCGCTGTCAACAAGCAAGCTGTAGCGCTTCGAATTTCAGGCGACAAAGGAGCGTTCTACAACTGTGCCTTTATAGGCGCTCAAGACACGCTCTACGATCAAAAGGGCCGTCACTACTTCAAGGATTGTTACATAGAAGGTATGTTAATCACTGTCTTTCAGCATATTGAAACAAATCCTTACAACGTCTCAAACTACTGAAAATATTTATTTTTCTTCTTCTCATGAAAACTTGAACCAACGTTTTCATGGTTGTGGGATTCACCAGGCAGCATCGACTTCATCTGTGGAGACGGGCAATCGCTTTACAAGGTGTCACCTCGCCCTAGCAGTAAAATCATCGCCACAAAAAATATATATATATATCCAGCTTGAAATGCAATCTACTCATATCATCTTCGTCACAAATTGAACGATCAAGCACCTTTTCAAGAGCGAACCCTGAACCAGAATTAACGCTTTCGTATTCTGTTCAATGCGCAGAATTGTCAGTTGCACTCCATAGCCAACCCGGGAAGCGGATCGATAGCAGCGCAGAAGAGAACAGGCGACACCAGTACAGGCTTCTCTTTCGTGGGCTGCACAATCACAGGCAGTGGACCCATCTACTTGGGACGCGCGTGGGGTCCCAACTCCCGAATCGTCTTCATCTACTGCAACATAGCGGACATCATTCGACCCGAGGGATGGCACAACTGGGGAGACAGCAGCAGGGAGAAGTGAGCCAAACCATGAAACATTCGCCCATGTTTTTCCATGTCTAGAACACACTACTAGCTCCAGCCTGATTCTTCCACTGCAACTAACACGCTAATGTGCATTGCAGGACGGTGTTCTACGGCCAATACAAGTGCACCGGAGCAGGGGCCGACCAGAGCAAACGATATGGCTGGTCTCATGAGCTCACAGAGTCGCAAGCTGTTGCACTTTCTTCCATGACCTTCATTGATGGAGCTAGTTGGGTCCAGACATAACTCCCACTTCTAGATCTCTGATTCACCATGTGACTGCAAACTAGCAACACACTCACACAACTTCACCGCTTTCGGTCACACCGCTCCCTTGCAGTTCCATGTTTGTTTGTGGTGGTATCAGCTTCGGAGTTCTCAGTTTGTGTAGGTTTGGAACTAGATCGGTCAATTTGCCAGAATTCATGCATTCGAATCAAGTATTCTGTTCTTCCTACGTTTCTTCTTCTACTGTAGAATGTTACAAAGTGTACAGCGTACAGTGCCCGTTCCCATCGCTGCAGGTTTCATTAATAAAACTTCAACCTTTTCCGTAGTTCCAAGAGTTGGGTTCTTTGCTGATGGATGCCTGGGTCTTGTTCTGTACTGCAAATTTGTGTTTTTTTCTTCTTTTTTTAAATGTTGATGAGGTTGATATAAGGTTGACAATGAAGGGAAAAAAGGATATTTTTGTCAGAATTGGTACCAAGTTGAGGAAGTTGAGGAAGTTGAGGAAGTTGAGGAAGTTGAGGACTGCAGTGTTTGCTGTAAATTAGGGCTGATCCAGAAATGAAGATGTGTCAAGGTAAAAACATTGCGCTTTGTTTGTGTTGATCGTGAATACTAAATAGTCTTGTACGGTTTTGAGGTTAATTTGGTTGGCATGGTTACTTAAATATACTTGATTGGATTAATGATTTTGAATCTTTTACAATTTGGTAGAATACAGTTGAGAACAGAAGATGTATACATTATGTTCCTAGTTCAAAAAGAATCATATTTGTTACTTTGTAAAAGAGTAAAATAAAGGTTTTTGAAATCCATACTTAGATTTTCAAACAAAAGGAAATTTTCTCAATAGATGCTTGCATTAATATATTTTTATTTTTTAAAAAACTTAGACTATTTAAATATTTTTTAACGACTAGATTATCAATCAATGAATAAAAATAAAATTTTATTTTTCAAAAAAGGTATTGGTCACTATCATTGAAAGTAAAAAAATAATAATTGAATAATTAAATTAGATATATCTATCACAAGCATTAAAACTTGTTAACAGCATTCCATTTTTAATTTTTTTTTGAATTTTTACAAGATATCTAATTTATTTTATATGCACAAGATATTTTTGGGAGATAGTTTATTACATATAATACCATATGAATCAATTATTTTGGTCAAAATTTTAGTGATTACTACTACAAAAATCTTGGTTAATTTTATATAGAAATCAAAAAATATTAAATTTTAATATCAAAAATTAAATCCATAATATGATTAAATATTATTATAATTTTATTTATTGATAAATCAAAATATAAAAAATTACAAATAATAACAGTTTGTATCTACAATTGAAAATTTCTAATTCTATGTTAATTCTTTTTATTCATAAATAAAAGAAATTTTTAATCTAAAAACTACCCACTTTATTTTTTAAATAATATACAACTATTAATAATGATAAATGATAATACAAAAATTTCAATACTTTAGTCATAGTAATAAAAATATATGTTTAAGCAAAGAAAATATAGAATAGCTTTGATATCATATTATAAATTTTAAACTAACTTTAGTATAAATTTAATTTGTTGAATATAAAAATAAGGTGTTTATAAAAAAAAATAAAAGAAAAAATATATAATTTATAGATAAAAAAAATTATTTTTAAATTTATTTAATATAAAAATATAATATTTACAATTAAAAAATAAAAAAATCATAAAAAAAATAAAGTTTAAAAGTATAAAATATTTTATTTTAATTTAATATTTTTTTAATCAAAACAATATTTTTAAATATATATATATATATATATATATATATATATATATATATTATTCATTCTAATCAAGGTAGCTTTTTGATTTTATTAAATTTATTTTAACTTCAAAAGTAATTAAGATATCATTAAGTCTATTCAAAATATCAAAAAAGATTCAATTATTTTAAATTTTCTTATGTGAATGTAAAGATGTATTTAATAGGAAAAAAATATTAATTAATAAATCTATTGTATTAGAAATTGATAAATATATTGTATTACAAAAAATATAAATTACAAATAATTATAAATTCAATACATACTTGTGGTACTCAAAAGAAGTAGATATTTATTGAAAGATATTATAATATTTAAACTAGAATAGCTATTGTCAATGACAAATAGACTAGAAAGTTTTGAAACAAGATTAAGAACAAAAAAGACATTCATAAGAACAAGAAATGCCTTACTCTTGCCTCTATATATATTATTTAATTAAAAATTATATAACAACATTCTATGAAACCGCTAACATGTGTCTAACTTATGAAATATATGTCTAACTTGCAAGATAAGTTTTCTATGTATGTGCCACATAGCCAACTTATACCTTAAGTTATCAATATATGTAATATGTGGCCAATTTAATAGCTAAATTTTCAACCTATCAATTACTTATAAACATATATAAAGTCAAATCCATGTCTATAAAGCTTCTAAGATTTTTTTTAAAGATATTATTAAATTTACTTACTTCTATTTATTTTTATCCAACTCTTTTAATCTAGAAATGTATATTTGTTTGTAACATTCTCTCTTCCATTTCTTTGTCAAGGACATGAATCTTAAAGAAAGAAATCTTCAATACATTCTTGTATCATTCAAAAGATTTAGAAAGTCACTCAAAGATGATATAGTATTAATAAGAGTGAAGAAGGCTTCACTCTTGCCACCATATGTATTCTTAATTAAGACATATGTAGCAATGTCCTATAGGACCTCCAAAATATATTAACTTTGCAAGAGAAGTAACTTAACTTGTAAGACAAGTTTTTTATATGTACACCACATAGTTAGCTTTTTCCACAAGCTATCAACACATGTTTAATTTGTTGATGAAGTTTCTAACCTATTAATCAACTACAAATACATGTAAAGTCAAAACAACTTCTATGAAGCTTTTAGGAAGCTTTTCTAGAAGATATTATAAAATTAATCTACTTTTATTTATTTTTACTTACTTCTATCTAATCATATAGGTATTTATTAGAGTACATTTGTATATCCATAATATTACCCCTTCTTCTAGGGACAAGTTCTACAAGGAGCGATCATTATGTATTGATGAAATCCAAGATGTAGTGAATTATATTTGCCACATACTTTGATCTTTGTTCTCTTTGAAGATGGTTGATAGGTCCTCTCAGCCATCAATAATGTCTTATACTAGAACAAGAAGACCATTTTATTATTTGAATATTGTTGAGGCCTTTGTAACTTCTTTGGATCTTGTTTCTTTTATAGCAAAGATTTGTTATTTTTCATCTTGGTTTTAATAAATATTGTTGATGAAAAGCCTCAACTTTTTTTTTTGCATTTTCAAGATTCTTTATTGGCTCCCATGTGTATTCATTAATATCATATCCCTCCCAATAAATAAGATATTCCAACCTATTTCAGCACCACTTTAAATCTAAGACTTCTTCTACTTTGAAGTCTTGATTATTATCTATTTATAGGAAGAGGTGGTATTTGTGTTCTTTTTAAGATATTTATTGTCTTACATGGCTCAAAAATAGACATGTGAAATATGGGGTGGATCTTCATAGACTTTGGTAGATGTAATTGATAAGCAACAAGATTGACTTATTGATAAATAGGAAAAAATTCAAGCCTATGATAGTCTAACTTATTATAAGGACAAGTAGTCTTGATATTGCAACAAAGTAATCATATCTTCTCATCCATGTTGAATTATGGTTGTTCCTTATGATATACATCTGCAATAATCTTTTGTCATTCTTAAGCTCTCTTTAACTACACCTTCATTGTTGCATGTAGCTTTGACAAATAATTTGCCAAATCTTCCATCATAGGATTATTAAGTTTTAAAAATTTAAAAGTATCAAGTCATAGAAGATAACCATAATTGGAAAAAAAAGATGTTTATTGAATAGAAGAATATATCAAATTATTGTATACAAACTCTACCAATGGTAAAAGAATTGTTCAATCATCTTGATGATAATTATCAGTACACCTCAAATATTACTCCAAAACTTAATTCATCCATTCTGTTTGCTTCTTAATTTGAGTATAAAAATTCAAAGAGAGTTTTACATGTACTTTTAAAATTTTGAAAAGGATTCTCTAAAAACTTAATATAAGTTGAGTCTTCCTATTTGATATAATATCTTTAAGTAATCCATGATAGCAATAGATGTTATTATGAAAAAATTTAGCCATTTTTTAAGATTTGATAGATTTTATATATAGTACAAAATGTGCCATCTTGGTGAAACAATCTACTACTACAAATATAAAATCATACAAATCTAAGATTGGAAGATTTGTGATAAAATCCATAGAAATAGAAGACTATGGTTGTTGTAGAATAGGTAATGGCCGAAGAAGTCCATAAGATTGATGGCACGGAGTTTGGATCTCAAACAAATATCACATGATTATATAAAGACTTTGACTGCCTTTCACATTTGAGGCCACTAAAATTCTCTACATATTAGCTCCAAAGTCTTGTTGTATCCAAAATGTCCACCTACTGAAAAATCATAATGAATTCGAAAAACATGTAATTGTGCCCCGTCTTTTGGAATATATAATCGTCCCTTGAAATAGAGTAGGTTATTTTTAAACTTAAAGTTGGAAGTAGCATGAGACTTAAAAGAATTATTCTTGATATCATAGATAAGAGGATTAAAGAACATACTTGATTAAATTTTTTTGATTAAAGTTGAATCAACAATCAATGTTGATTTTATTGCTTGAAGGTAAAAATATTCCAACTTCAAAGAAATCATTCTTTGTTAATCAAAAGATGCATCTCTTTCTTTTGATACAAGATAAGAACATCTAGAAAGGGCGTTTAACAAACCTTGTTATTTTTTTAATCAATAAGTAATCTTAAAATCAAATCTTATTAAAGACATGCTCCAACAAGCTTAGTAATGATTCAAAACAAGTGCCAATATGAAGTATTTGAAGTTCTTGTAATCTGTATACATAGTGACTAGACTTGAGGCGCCTTCTAAATAATGATGTCATTTTTTAAATGAATCTATAATTACAAAGAATTCTTTATTGTAGATCTCAAAATTAATCTCAATTGCTAAAATATTTTTGGAATGGAAAGCTATTAGATAGAATTTGTCATCTACTTCCATTTGTGACAATACTACATTTAAGGCAAAGTCTGATCCATCTATTTCTATGAAAAATGCCTTATAGAAGTCAACATGATATAAGATTGATATAAAAATAATTTTTTTTTAAAGTATCAAATGATGCTTTGACTTCTTTATCCCACTTAAATTTGTCTTTATAAGTCA